AAATGTTTTGCAAGGTTCATTGCAAATCATCGTTTTGATTGGGATGAATCAATTGTGGAAGATATTCTGTTCTGCATTGTTTCTGCTGTTTAGCTGTTGGGATTTTGAATATTGGTTTAATTAGTTTGTCAGAATAAATCAGTCCTAACTAGCTTTTTAATCAATGTATCCAGAGAAGATTTTGCTTTGGGAATTTTAATATCCACCTGAACGGATGGGGGACATGTGACGATGCAGCACTCCCGGGCATCGAAGTATCAGCCTGGACTCGGGAGTTCAAAGACCAGACCTGGGGCTTGAAGCAATAACCAAGAGTGACAGAGGTTGACACCTGTATCATTACACAGCATCTGTGGCTAATTTGTCAGATGCGGTGAATGTTACCGCAACAGATTATCTTTGCAGACAACAAATTTGGATTTTTTGCAAGTGAAGTTTTGTTCCGTTCGAGCACAGGGAGGTCACCACCACTACTTATAATAATAAAATATTGATAGAAAGCAGCGCTTGTGAATTTTCCTTTTAGCTCTTGAATTTTTTTGGGTTAAGGATCTGATAAGGTAGCTTACTTTGGCTTTTATTACTGTACAACTTGTCAGACTTTGGCAGTTTTCGTGAAACCTTGATCCCTATTCCCTCGGGTCCTTAAAAAGTACCTGAAATACTATATGCTTCTGACTTTAATCCTCAAGGTATTTTGAAGTGAAGTATGAAGTTGAATGAGCAGTACTTTGGTGAGAATTCTACTGGTCCTGTGGGAAACCAGTCTATTAATTACAAGTTCAGGAGAAAGTTACAATAATCGCACAGCAGTTAAATGATACAAACCGCCTGTAGCTCTTTACTTCAACTTCAGACGGTGAAGAAAAGGAGAAGACATTAAAAGGGTCTCGTGATGCCTAATCTTTATTTGTTGCTCTTCATTGTGTTCTTTGCTTCTGGGGTCTTGATATTTGGCTTTGATATTGTTATCAAAGAGAGATTTTAATCTTTCTCTGGGAAATGCTATTTTAACCAAACAAACCATCTTTTGCTTTATTAAAACGGGAGCAAGCAGGGTGTAAAGACTGAGTGAGTGACACAGCCGTTTACTGTACTGAAAGTATGTGTTGCCCGTTCTTGAAGACATTACAATCAACATTGTTGCTCTGGTGGGCGCAGGTTTGTAACCATAATTACCCTCTTGGGAACTCTGACAGCACAGTATTAGCTGTTTAATTAGGGTGAGGTGTTGAGTGGCAAAAGCACAGTTTAGCTGTGGGCAGTGTGTGACCAGGGAGGCTGAGAAGAAGGAAAAGGAAAGGGGAGAAAGAATAACATGAAAGGAAAGACATTGTTGAGCTACAGGAGGGGAAGGGAAGAGAAGAGAGAACAAGGATGCGTTCTGTAGACTCGCAGCGATCCTGACCAAAATGTATGACACTGCAACCGCTAAACGAGAGGATAATAACATTATACAGTGGGAGGAACATTCCTCAGAGCACAGTGAAGTATAGAATGGGGCTGAGATGTGTTTATTTTGAAGATACTCAAAGCGGATGAGTGATGGGGACTGCTAGAGACTGGAACTCCAAGGGATGTGCATGTTCTTGACAAGGGTGGATGGATATTGAAAGTTAAACCTGGCCATCTCCCTGCCTGGTACTGTACTGCACTGAGCTACAATCTGGAACCTTTCCAATTCAGTTCTGCATCTAACTTCTCTTGAGCTGTGGATCATGAAAGAACTTACCAGTCCTGCTTGCCTAAGGATTTATAATGAATGGTGGCAATCACCGCCTTTATAGTTACAAATTATTAAATGAGATGCTGGCAATCAACATATAAACTGCTGGGTTTGTGACTCAATCTGCAGTATGAGTTCTGGCAATTTTCTCAAGTCCTGCCATGGTGCTTTCTAAGTATTTAAATTCACAAAGTCTCTTAATGTTTCCTTCTTTACTGCTCAGGAACACCACAGAGCTCTCCACTCTGAAACCTAGCAAGGTTTTGAACTTGACGCTGATGATAAAACTCTCTTGATGAGCTGGAAGAGGAAGCAGATAATGTTCATACTGTAGTTGAGCAGTGATTGATTCTTCAAGATGTGATGTGGCCACTTTAGGAAGCCCGTGAGAGAGTGTATGAGTTTTCCATTACCCAAGGCCTTCAGCACTGCTCAATCACATAGTCCTTTGAGCTTTGATGGGTGCTGATTAGTACCCCTACAATGACCATAACTTGTCCCCCACATAACAATCTATTGACTATTACCTCAAAACCAGGCATTGTTTATATTAGAGAATAATCCTATGTTATAATTTTGCCCCTTTTGTTTGCTCTGAACTTTTTAAGGCAGCCCAAAGTTTTATTTGGTCAAATCAGTTTGCTACAAAGAATGAAATGTCAGGTTTGCCTTTTGGAGGGGAGCAGAGGGGAATTCAAATTCAAAGCACCGTTTCCTGTGTTGGACATCTTTCGAGATGGTTTTTGGTCAAGTATGAAAGTTGTCCTGTTTGTCCTGGCATTCCTTTCCCATTGCCTTCAAATAAAGTGTTTATAAAACAGAGCTTTCTCTATTATGTCTAATTCACATAATGGTGCTACAGTCAGTGGAATTAATTCTACATTTTTATTGTGTGGTATACGTCTAGTGTCGTTCATCCATGAGAAGAATGGATGCAAAATGTTAAGTCTGGTAAAACAATACTCTATTATCATAATTCCCATGTAAAGCCCTCACTGTGGTTTTGTCTCCCGCTGCTCACACATGTCTATGCAACCACAGTAGATGGATATCTAGATAAGCGGGTATAAAAGCTGGTCATGCTGAAATGGACATGTGAAACTTAACGCGTTTTATTTCAATAAAACTTCACAATGTAAAAATATGTCGTTCTGCGTTTTTTTTGTGAGCTCAACAAGATCAGACTACTGTCTTCTCATTTCTCTGTCCCCCACTCCGCGCCCCCCCCCCCCGCCCTCCTACAAGATTGATTTTATTAAATTAAATCTGGTGCACATGAGCAAAATGGACCCTACTTGTAAAAACAGAAGCCTTTTGAAGGGAATCATACCTGATTTTATTAAATCACGTTCATTCAGGTAGACAGAAGTCTTTACTTCCTTTACTCACCTACGGCCTACGCAGTTTGCACTGTAGAATGCAGCACAATCTTACACGCTCGTGGTGGTGGATTTTTTTCCCCTTAAAAAACGTAATTTGATAAATATTATTTGCGCATTTTAAAAATGTTTTTTTTAAATTTTGAACCTAACGAAGCTAATGCATATCTCTTCAGATCAGCTGAATAGTGAAACAGGACCTTGATTACTAGTCTCCTTCAGCAGCTATAATTGCATCTTGTCTTATTTCTTCTTTGCCTTTAATAAACAAGCTTTAGTTCTGCAGAGAGTATGCATACCACATCTTGATTGGAAGCCAAGTAAAAGACTTGGTTATTATCGATATCAAACATCTTGCAGAGATTTAGTACTAACCCACTTTGCAGAAGTGTACAGAGTGCTAGCGACGAGTGCAAATTCTCTTGTGAATCAGCGATATCCAGATATGCTAATTATTTTTAATACAGATTTAATCTAACAGGACACCCAAAAAAATTGAATGAGACAAAGCCATTTGGTTTATCGAGCCTTCTGTCCTCATAAGCCATGTGCAATCTTCCCCACCATATATTCTACATCACGTCATTTAGTTAATCTACCGAGGGTTGGTGGAGATCTGAACAATTTAATAATAATTCTTGCATTTGATATAGCGCCTTATCACGTCGTTGAGACGTTTCAAAGTGTTTCACAGAAATATACTGTAAAGTGAATTGACTGTATATTTTGTGGGCGAATTTTCCCCTTGACTCAAAGGCATTTTCTCCACACACTATACCTTTTTAATCTATTTATATTTCCATTGTATAGAGTTGCCATTATTTGCCACAGCTAACATTTTAATGGTCCCAAAAATCATTGTGTTACTTGAAGTATTTTATCGTCTCTCTCTCTCTCTCTCTACTCTACAATCTTCACCCTCCCATTCCAAATCCAATATTTATTCAGCTCTGTTTTTAAGAAGTTAATCAACCTACTCTTAATTGCTGTTGCTGGCAGTCTGTTCCACATAGTCACAAACCTATAAGGGAAAAACATTTCTAATCTTCAGGTTCCATTGAGGTTCATTAACTGTGTCTCTCGGTACTTTAGCCTCTCGAGCGATGCTGAACAGATAACTCGTTTTGGCAGAGCTCGGCTACATGTGTGATCAACTCGCCATCGCACCAGCCTCTCCAACATCAGCCTGAAAATAGGGTTAAACCGTTTACCCTGGTTATGTCAAACTGCAGTGGTCAGACCACTGACTGACATTCACAACGTTGTTGTTTTTTTAGCCAACTGAGCATTGATTTTAAAATGCCAGATTCAAATTGGAGTGGTGCAAGCAGCAATAATCAGATGGGGAAGCTCGTTTAACTTTGTAATATAAATTTTAATATATATATATATTTATATGTTCAGAGCAGAACTAATGGGCAAACCTTGCAAGATTCCACGACCTGTAAGATTTCTTGTGTTAATTAAGTCCGGGAACGCCATGAAGAATAGGTGCAGCTTGTGGATGAATTTCGTAATCAACGCCCATAAATGACTGTCCTGCCTTTTTTGGCAGTCCGTATCTCCCAGTCAGCCGGCTATTTGCTGGTAAAGAAAATTAGGTCACTGAGCATGTACAGTCATTATTCTGAAGTGAATGACAAACTTGCAGGCATTTCAGAAAAGATTAAAGAATATCGAAAATTTGCCCTAGTGTTCTTTTAATCTACTTTATTTGTTATAGTTACACTGCAATAGTCCAAACCTATTCTCCGTAGATACTTCTAACACCTCTGGGCACTTGTGATGATTTGTTTTCCCCAGTAAAGTACTTTGTTGGTTTGTGTAGCTGGTTTGCTGCTGTCTCTGTCACCTTCCTAAATCCCATATTATTATTAATCGTACGATCTTCCCAGGAAAGCACATGAGGCAAGTGTCCAACACACAGAAGGCAGCAGGAGGCAACAGGAAGAATGCAATGAAGGAAAAGGGAATGCCTGGAGAGAGATCAATGCCAAAAGCAGTAACAGGTATTTTCAGTCTAGATCTTTTCATATCTTGAGGGCATAGAAAGCAAAGAACGTTCAACCCATCCAACCTACTCCTTCCCACACATAACCTAGCCCTATAATGGAGTGCATCCCACCTATTCTTTCCTCCCAAGGAAAGTTCTGCACAGGTTTCATTCATTCCTAAAGGCAATGGAGGAAAAAAACAACTGCACATTTCTCACTATTCAGACCTGACCTTCCTTCAACACACATCTGGCACTTTGTCAATTACTGAATATTCTGTACAAAGGAAGAGATTGTAAATCACTCTTTAAATGCAAATACATGGCGAGGTTGATTGGGGAGAAAAACTGTCGTCTCGGAGCATTTTCTAAAATCAGGAGACGGAAATGTTGGCTTCAGATTTGTTTTAGTCTCTTCACATGACACACTCGGGGGCTATCATTATTATGGAAGGGAATTTTAGCTCTAGGTAGAGGTTATAATAATCCTTGCATTTGATATAGCACCTTGTAACATCTCAAAGCGCTTCACAGGATATACTGTAAAGTGAATTGACTCTATGTTATAGGCAAAACGAGGCTCAACTCAACACTGTCCTCAACAGAATTGGGTGTTGTGCCCAGGTCAATGAGATGAAAGACGAATTTGTTTAATCTCCGTATCCTCAGAAGCTGAGGCCAATGGTGACACCTGCAGCTGCTGCTCCAGTTGAAGATGATGAGCTTTGCACAGACCAGAGATCAAATTTACCCATTGTGCCATCAGGGAGCTTTTGTGTTTTAATATCCCATCTGTCTGGAATGGCAATAAGCTCCAGTCCCCAAAGTGGCTTCAGAGAATATGTTTTCTCGTGCAATTCAAATTAAAACAGGATTTAACTGTATTAGATTATAATTACAGCTTGCAATCGATACTGATGTTTTTTTCATTATTCTGTACATTACATGGTGGGTTGCTACCTTTACATGCTGATGTGTCTGTGCAGGTAAACTGCACTTTGATTAACTGCAAATGTATGGAATTCTTTTCTATTTTATGACTGGAAAGTTGTTGACAGTGAACTTCACTTTTTATTTCTCTCTATTCGGGTTTGGAAGCTTTTCACCCCCAAAGTGTAATCTTTTCTGAACCTCGGTTACAAATAAGACATTCAGGACATAGTCATATATAAGTGATTTGTTTGACAAAAGATTAATATGGCTTCAGCTTTGTTTTTTCTGAAATCAACCCTGTCCAGGTTTCAGTGTGTTTGGCAAGTTTTTTCATGCATCTGTATAACCTGATGATATCTAGGAGATTTATAGTTTTGTTGTCTCTGCTCACTCTGCGTACAAATCTGAGCTATTTGAAGTGCGAAAAGTGCCTGGTAATATTGGATGTTTCAACTCAATCTAAATTCACTTAACGTGTGGTGATAATCAGTGTTAAACACATGTTAAGCGTTAAGAGATTTATGATCAATAAAGCAAGACAGATTAGAACTCATTTAAACACTTCGAGCCAACTGCAGGTTATTTTTCCGTGTGATGCATTCCAAAGTTGGTTGAATTTCTAAATCCAAACGAATGATGTTTGCTGGATCTGTATCCATCCAAACCAGTTACCCACCTCAGGACTAACTTTGTCATCCATACTTTAATCCAAACATCCAACACCATAATATCCACGATTGTTATTCAGCGGAAGTTGATTCAGCGCACAATGAATCAAAAATCTCTCCGTTCTGTTCAAAGTCGTGTGTTCCCTTATCTGACATTATCTTGTACCTGCACATATCTGTCTGGGTTGCTCTTGCCTCTGAGACGGATGGTTGTGGGTTCAAGCCCCATGACAGGACGTTGAGCTTACAAACTACCAATGCGGTGCTGGGAGTGGGCTGTGTTCCTTGAGGTGCTGTCCTTCACATGAGACAGTTAACCAGAGTTCCTGTCTGCCTGTCCACATGGCAGAATCCCATGGTACTATCCTAACTCACAATCTTAGAAATAAAATTGGTTGCTCACTTCATAACTGCTTCATAGCTGTGTGCAAGTGTCACTGAATGTTATTACAATATAGAATCCTGCACCTTATATCATATGTTTAATATATATCTCATTCTGGATCCTTTTATTTGAATGATTCCAGCGTGAAGACTTCCAGATTTTATATACGGGGAAACAAATCAGAACCTTCATGTGGACAGACTGACCTCAGTGGCAAATCTGTAATAAATGGGTGTTTGAAGGCTTCTTGTTTGAAACATCATTTTAAGTTTGATATTCCCCTCCCAGGATAATAATTGTTAATAGTGAGGAGCTGCTGTAGATTGTGGAATTCAAGCTCTGAGAAACAACTTGCCAAGAATCGCTGGCTTCGATCACAAACCTGTGCATAATGAGTGTGCAACACTGGAATTCTGTGAAGGGCTGAGAATTATGCTTGGTATGCCTTCATCTGGACTCTCCTATTGCCACAGAGTTTATGGTTGTCAATAAAAGAGAGACTCCAAGTAACCCAGGATTAAAGATAATGACGTATTACTCTATTTAACTCTAGCTGTGCCCATTGTACTTAAGGAGAGATTATTTGACTGAACTGATGTTCTGGATTCTGTGGCACTGTACGGTAATGCTGCATTTTGAAGTTTTAAGTTTGAATTACTGTTGTTCAACTCTTTCAAATCGTGACATTTTGCTGCGAGCTTCCGCCTTGATGCGAAACGTGGCATTCTCTTCAATCTTGTCGTCTCTTCCTTTCTCCTTTCCGCTTCTCCAGTTTAGAAGTGACTTTGGACCTTGCGTGTTAATGCCATTACTGTAGCCAACAGATAGTCCGCGTTTCAGATCACGGATTCAGAAACAAGTGACATTCAAACCTGCTAATGCGCAGTGGTTTGGTCTGTCATTTGCAGTTGTCAATAGTTCACTTCATTAAGCTCTGTCAAACGGATAGTCATACATAGTCATGCTCTTACAGCTACTTGATGCCTTTACACTTTCCTTCAGTCTATCTATAAAAGCACACAGACACGACAGGGATTGATGGTTAAGTATTCAGTGACCGCCATGTTGTGAGCTTTCCTACTGTGCAATGCCATTAATTTCCCTTAGCCGTCGTTTTTTTAGTTGAAACACTCTCTGTCCAATTTCAGCTTTAATCTTGCTCATATTTTCTACCAGGAGCCAAACAACAGGACACATTTAGGAATACACTTGCCAAGATGCTGAACACAGCACGGTGCTACCTTCAAGACTTGGGCCACTTACCCAAAAGCCCTGAACAAAACCTGTCCCCTGACAGAAGCCAGACTGCTCATAGCTTTTCAACACAAAGTTCATTGGCCATCAACAGCAAAGGACAGGTATGGAAGGTGACTAGTGGGAGGGGAAAAGACTGGGTTAAATACATATTGGCCTTCAAATCAAGAGAAGACCCTTGCCATACCTCACCATTCCATTGCCCATTTCAATGTAGAAACCACCTGCATGTTCTGAGTCCCTATGGAAATCATTACATTCCATTTTATTTTATTTCCTCAGAAAAATATGAAATTATTCTTCCCACCCAACTATTGACATAAGAGTATTTAAACAAAAATGCAAACTGGTAATTATCTTACGCCACAGGAGAGCTTATTCAAGGTTTTTTTTGAAAATGATTCAATGTGCTTCTTTAATGGACTTTTTTTTCAATATAAATTTTTTTTCTGTCTTGTTCTTTCTCTCGCTCCTCCCATGGGTGAGAATCACTCAGATAAGAAGCAAGGCCATTCCTTCAGTGGAACAGAAGGTATTTGCTGACCTTTTACATGCCACCACCAACTAAACTGGCTCCTGGTGCACACCCCACTCACCAGCTGAGTCCTTCTGGGCCTGATCAGAACCCGCCAGCGCTACAGCTTTACTGTTCAACCCTTAAACATTGCCAATTGTTGTTGTTGTAAACATTGCCAAAATATCAAACAAACAAAAATGCGACTAAACCCACATCAAATCCCCTTCCCCCCAACTAACAACAGACAGGCCTCGTCATCCGTCCAACCATCAGCAGCTTCTCTCTGTAGCCAGAGCCCCATATGCTGCTCACTGTGCTCCAGAGCCATCTCCCCACAGTAAACACTGCTCTGTGGGTCAGCCTCACCTGAGAAGATCATTTTCTCTCAGCCACAGGCAGTCGGCACCATCTGCTTCCCACCGATAACAGTGAGTCAGCTTCTCGAGGGGAGGTCAGTCAGGTTCCACTTTGCCATCTGCACCAACTAGAGATTGTAAACAATATAATAAAACATAGTTATCACATATAGGTGTGTGCGCATGCACACATATACACACACGCATACACGCGCGCGCACACACACACACACACACACACAGATAACCACACAGGCATTTATATAACTAGATATATGCAGTGTAGACATGCATCGTATATTCACACAAATACAACAACAAGATTACCTTTGTATAGCGCCTTTCACGTCAAATACACACCAAAGTGAATAAAACTGATTCATTGAAAGTACTCCCAGGCCTCCCAGCCGTCCTCAAACCCAGTACGTATCCTGAATCCATTTGCAATTGACTAGTGGATGAAGTGGGGCTGGGGCCCAGCTGGTTTCAGGATGCATTTCCAGATGACATGCCTGCTCGGTGATTGTTTCGTTGAGAAATAAATAAAACTGATGCAAAACATTTGACATCTCTGATAATGATCAGAATCGGGCTCGATAGCACGAGGGGGTATATTTATGTTCAAGGTGCAATATTATTGTATATATTCTGCCTAATGCAAATTGCTCTGTGCAGTTCAATTGCAAGCTTCACATTTCTGTACCATCTCCACACTTCATGGAAAAAGTCACAGTAAAATGGGACAGGAGAGCCCTGAGGACCTTGTGCATTTTTTGCTGTTGTGTAATTCGCTGTTATTTACAATTCCTTGTTTAGAGCAAACACTTTCCTGACAGGGTGTCAAATTGAGATCTGCTGAAAGACAGATACCGCTCACAGACCTGAGAGTTTTTCATTCCTAACAAGACCATCGCTTATGGTTTTGCTGTTTGTAGTTTGCCTGACGCATTTGGCAGCATCGTTAAACAATTCCACTGGGATTGTCACAAAGGTAAAGGCAGCGCCAACTCAAAGTTTGACTAAAACTCCGCTATTTTTTGCAACAACATCTTGCACTTGTGGAGTAGCAACTTTTGCATAGAGAAACATCTCAAGATGCTTCACAGAGACTGAGCCTTAATTACTGTATAAACCGATATATACCATGGGACAGTGGTTTAGACATTTAGCACCATCAATCCCCTTCTGCACAATTGTACAGGAGAATATTATCTTCTTGGCAAACTAAGGTGGACTGATATTAGACAAATGCCTCTCCACATTACTGTACTCACGACCGGGGAAAGATAATCAAACTTCTTGATACTAAAATTCCTTGAATTCTTCTGCTGGAGAAAAAAAACGGCCATTATTAGGATTAAGAGCTGATTCTTTCATCGGTTGTTAATGCTGTATTTGAGTATTTTGTTCTCTGTTCTGAGAAGAGTATTTGAAAGTGGATTAGAACAAAATGCTGTTTTGAATCCACATAACTCCGAATTTGACATTGTTTTTGCTCAGGTAGCCACCACTGCACATCGTCCTAAACTAGTGGACAATTCGAATCCCTGACCCTCTCCCCAAATAGACGTGCTCATAAAACAAAGAAACTTTGGGTTTATTTTTCTTTCATTATCTATCTAAAGGCTAATCAAGCTTTTTTTTATATATATATTGTATATCTAGAAATAACACTTCTTACTAGTTAGCAATATTTTTCCCGTTTTTAAACAAATGCTTTACTGCAAAGAGAGAAACACGGAGAGCTTGGCTCTGTGTAAAATATCATATTAGGTTTATTCCCCCCGTTCAGGTGTCATGTGATATAACCAACGCACTCCATGACGGGCATGTTTAGTTGAGTGGATGCTGAATTGTGCAATATGTCTTATGTTTACCCAGTTTTCACTGACTGTGTTTCCTCAGGCAAGAATCAGAAGAAACTCTCCGAACAGTTTTAAAGGGATGAGAAATAAAGCCAAACTCCAAGTAGTAAAACGGTTGAGGCGAGACACCATTCAGTCAACCGTGGATTTGGATAAGGATGTGGGAGATAGGTATGTATAAACAAGTCAGTCTCTATAACTAGTCTATTGACATTACACATGCTTAACTCGAGCATCAGGGCTCATATTCTTGAGTTAAGTGAACATTTATATTAATCGTGCGAATTTATAAAAGCTGTTAAGTAATAAAAAAGCGCAGAGCATTAATTTCTCTGCATTGAATGCTGGCTGGTGGGACCAATGAAAGAATTAACTCTGTATTTGTTTCCCATACACACAATGTTAAAAATAGTTCCTTTTGCCCCACGTTTTGACTCTATTCCTTAAATAATTTTAACTTCTTGACTCAATTCTTTATTCTTCCTTCTCCCTTTTTCTGTGGCTTTGCGTTTGGTGTGTACATTGACTAACCTGGAATCGCGACTTAGCTTAACTCACCTTGTAGTTTCTGATACTATTGCTACTCTTCTCACCCCAAATAGTAAAGCCACAAAATTCAGTCGATGGTTCATCCTTACTCTATACTCGGGAGAACAGTTAAATATGGATAATCCAAATAGGTGGTGAAAAAGAGACCAGGTTATTAATATTTACATGTATACTGTCCTCTACATCTTGGTAATCAACAGCTGATCATGGCTCAGTACATGTACAAATCTATTACTGCTTTTTCAGTGTGGACTGCAATCTGTGCTAATTGTTTAGAGCACATTGTCCAGTGTTTAGCTTGGCACCTGCTGACAACAAAGACACAAAACAGATGAAAACCACTGCACACCCTCCTTAGTGTGTGTTATAACAAGTCATTTGATAAATAGGAGTGATTGATTGCAAGGCTTTGATGGCTGTTATTTCATCCTCTTGATAAGGCTACTGTTTTATAATCACTCTCAGGTGCTCATTATTCTACATACTGCATTAAAAACAAGTCCTGAGTTTCAGCCGTGTGTTCCCTGATATCAGTCACATTGTAGATGCCGTTGCTGGTCTATATTGTCAATAGAAGATGCAAACAATGGGGGCATATTGCTCTGATGGGATCGCTATGCTACCTTGGAGCTTAGCTGTGATCCAGCAGAACCTGGCCAATTTAAATGACTGGTTTCAAATGTCAGGCAAGGCTGGGATTTACACCAGACTCCATCATCGAAGTCTCACAGTACCTCATTGGACGTCTGTTCCCAAACGTAAAAGACATTTGGTGGTATTAAATAACAACTGTGCACGTGAAACAATTTGATTAATACTTGAAGTAGATTCCCTGGTGGTGCAGCTTTATATGAATTATATATATTTTATTTGGGTGCTGTTCAGTCCTGAGTTATGTAATTCATTTGGCTGCCAGTGAATTGAGGTGCAGTATTTTATGCTGCTCACCTCTTTAGATTAATTTATTAACAAAAGCTTCTTGAAACCTTCTTTTACTTTCCTCCAATTATCAGTTCATAATTTATTAAATTTATCCCTTAATTCAAATAATAATAATAATCCTAGCATTTGATGTAATGAGAATAATTACTCACGTCTGAAAGTAATGTGACATTGGGCTTTAGTCCTGCCTGATGATCAACAACAACAACTTGCATTTATACAGCACCCCTCAGGCAGGGTAGCGTCTCAGAGCACTTAATCAGCACAATAATATGCTAGTGTTTTATCTCTCAGATATGAAGAATCTATTAAACATGCATCTGTCAGGTCATGGGGGAGAATATCAGCAAGCAGAAAGCAATGGAATTATTGGAATTATTAACACTCTGTGCACGGCATCAGGCACTGCTTCCCCACCCACCCCAGCTGGTCAGAATGTCGCTGCTTGTTCCTGAGATGACCTTTGAGCTGATGATGGATGAGGATAGTGTCAGGGTGGGAAAGGCCGGCACCTCTGTGTACTCTGGTGATGGCTGAGGAATGAACATTGGTTAGTGACAAATGTTGTGAAAAAAAATCTAGGTTTGTGGACTTTTTTTCTGAGAGAACAATTTAGTTCCTTTTTAACAGCCGCGCCACTTGTAGATATTGTGAAGTCAGATTTATTTTTCCTTCCCAGTGAATGTGCTGTAATTCCTCTTCCCAACCCTGTGCCTGGCACCTTGTCCTGCTGCCTTGGCAAGTCTGAAGGTGTTTGCTTTACTTTCTCTAAACACACATCTCTTAGAGGCTGAAGAGACTTGTCTCTTAAACACTGGCCTTTAGCCTTCCTGCTCTCTTCTTCACTGCTTCTAATACCTGGATGATCCTCTGGTATCTGATAATTTAAAAGTAATGATTGTAGGTGTAATACTGTAGGAGGACACAGCATCATTTGTTGAGTCCCCAACACCCAGTTTATCCAATTGTAGCAGGAGATTCCGGGAGGCCAGCTGTTTCTCTACAGGCAAGGAGATAAAGTGGAAAGACGTTACTCCAGGTTCCATACCTATCCAGACATGATAAGTGACTCAGGAATACCGGAAGAGTGCTGAATCAAATAGGAGTGGAGGGTGGGTGGGAAGGGGTAAGACTGCCAGTGGTATGAACACTGCAGATGTTGGAGATGTACCAACAGTGAATCCAAAAACTGCAGATTTTCTTTCCACCCTAATGTTTCGAACCAATTATTGAAATGTATCATCTTTCTGCCCACGAAGACGTGGGTTGTTAAACTGAGTGCATGGCCTGAATGTTCTTGGCCATTCAGCTGTGCCAAACTCAATGTGTATTCTGAGAAGCTGTACATCACAGTGTGTGTGTTGAGTGGTGGTGGGGGATAGTTAATTAGCTTAAAGGGGCTCATTTAATGCAATTAAATGTCCTTACAATCCACAGAAATGCCCTTACAAAATAGGAGCGAATCTATTCAGTATCAATGGTGTAAAGTGCATTTGGTCTCTTCACAGGTCACTCAGGAGGACCTGCTTTGTGTTATTTATTCACTCTGATTGTTTGTGGTGCACTAGATGGCACTTAACTTACATTTAACTTGAGGTCAGCATTTGATACTGACTGGATGGATACAGGATCAGCCAGAGCTAACAATTACTAAGACAGATGATTTGAAAGGTTGACCCTGACATTGGCTAGAAGGGCAGAGACATTATGCAAGTTAACTGTACTATTACTTCCAGGGTTCATGTCACTGTAAAATCCATGACATTTGATGAAAATGTTTTGGAAAAATTTGCTTCACACTCAAATAGATTTTATTTTCTAAAACCTCTGTTGCACCTTTTCTGACAACTCCAAAATGTTTTGTTACAATATTGTTCCAATTTCATAAAAATGCAAAGCCACTGCAAGTTTATTAAACAGGTTTTTTTTAGGGATGAGGAGTTTGGTTTCTATTTATCTCATTAAAGTTAACTTGTAAGGGTACAAGACGATCTTTAGTATTGATGCACCAGATAATTTAAACCAGGTTTCCAATGGGTGGTCCATTGGAAGCTGTTGCCAGGGCTATAAATTCATGGTATTATTACAGTTCCTGAGATATCATTCCTGAGGTATTTGGTCTGTCAATCTGTCATTTATCCCACAGCAAGTTCTTCATCTCAGCCAAGGAAAGGCCAATCCTGGCCAGGCTAACCTGTACCTCACAGTGGTAGGTTACAAGTCTTGGGACTTCTTACCATTTTATCTGGATCACAATACAATCAAATTCAATTGAAAAAAAATGTTAGATGAGCTCCAAGATATCATCCATTTCTGTAATGCAGATAATGAGTTACATTGTTTGTTGAGTTTTACTTTTAATGCAAAATATCTGTATTATCAATTCAGAATATTTTGAAAAATAAGTTTATAGGTACCCATGGTTTGGGTACTGACAAAATGTGAATTATTGCATAAGCAGTTTTGAGTTTGAAAGATTTCACTATAATGTTCTTAAACAAACCTTTGCAAATCTGAGCTCCATCCTAACTCTCAACAAGTGAGTGAGAAGTCTATCGTTGTTTAATGAACTCTTAGGTTCACTTTCATTCCACTTTTACAAAGGTTTATTCTTATGCAGTATCGTGACAGGTGATTAGGGAAAAAAAGTGCTCCTGTAATTTTCAGCTTAAACTGTGAAATTTGAACTACAGCACTTGTGGTGATGAGCAGTCCCTCATGAGCTTACGCATTGTGTGATAAAGTGAAGTCAGACTTGTCATTAGACAGATTGTTAACATCTATTTAGATAAAGTCAGATGTAAAATGCAGGTGGGAATAGGGGACCAAAGTCTGTCAGAAACATGAAAGAGAGGGACCAGCATTAGAAACATTACTCCCAATCTCAAATGTTCGGTTTGTAATCCTCACATTAACGGTGTGTCAGTGCACTTTTATGACAACTACTCCGGTGAATTGAAGATCAAGGCCTTGCAATGCAAAATATTTGCTCCTTTTGTACAATTTAATACGTACCTATTAAATTCTCCAGAACATTCAAAGAAATGGTGCTCTTACACTTGGCAAAAGCAGTGGTCAGTCAGCAACAACAACAACAAAATGACATTTGTATAGCGCCTTTCACGTCAGGACAGCAAGTCTGTGGCACAACCCATTTAGCTGCACACAGTGAGATCAGCCTCCACTTAGCTCAGTTTGTAGCTTGGCTCAGTTGGTAGCAACTTTGCTTCTATGTCAGAAGATTGTGGTTTCCAGCTCAATGATATGACTCAAACTCCTAATCTGGGTTGGCGCCAGTCTACAACAAGAACAACAACTTTACATTGATATGGGCATCTTTCAAATCAGGAGGATGTCCCAGAGTGCTGAACAGAACTGACTAAATATCCAAGCCTGGGGATAGGGAGCCAGATCTGATGTTAAAGCCAGGTCCCATCTGCCTTTGGTTATATAGTAAGGATCCCATGACAACATTAGAAGTGAAAAATGAGTTTGTCACAGTGTCCTGGCCAACCACACTCCATATAAATTGGTTGATTGCCTTATTAGCTGTTTGTGAGATCTTGCTGTGCACAAAATGCCCAGTGTTTTTGGTACACCTGACAGTAATTACAGTAAAGTATCTTGAGATATTTTGCTGTGATAACATGCTAGAGAAGCACTCATTTTTCTCATTACTTGCTCTTGGATGCCAATCCCAAATGGCCAAGCCATTAGAAAATATTCCCAAGTATTGCTTCCAAAAATCGTAATGCAAGCCAATAATTCTATTTCTTGGGTAAATGGGCACGGAACTCTACTGGTATTTAGTGATTTGTTCTTACCAACAGCTGTCCTGTGTGCTGGGACCAATTCCACCATAAAAGGCTTCCAATGACAAGTCACCCTCTCTCTCACTCACTCTTTCTCTCTCTACTGGACTTGCCAATTTAAACATTAATACCCTACCCCTGATCCAATAGTTCAATTGTACGTTTCATCTCTCTGGGAGGGCAACACAATGTGTAAATGATATTTTATTTTAATTCCACATCTGGCATAAAGTTTAGGAAATCTCCACAAAAAGCTCTCCTAATGGGGAACACCAATCCCAATATGGAGAACAGCTGTTGGCGGAAAAGGCAAATCCTAATTCCAAGCAGAGATAAATTTAATTTAAGAAATTTACTAAAGAATTTATTGGGGTTTGGCTCATAAATGCAATCTTTATGAGTCTCTGCTGGAATAGTGCCTTGAATAGCTGTATGGAACTCTCAACATTGTTGAGACAGGACGCATGGATTTAATAGGCGGTCATTTTGATTATCATGAAACAGAAAGCACTTGTGTTTTTATAGTGCCTTAGTTATCATGTCAAAATGACTCAAGGTCTTCAAAGTGAATTGTTGCTAACTGAAGTGACTGCGTATGAAGGCAAAATTGGCAGTCACTTAAGCCAACAAGGTCCAACAGAAACGTGATGAAATGAGGGCACTGCTGATCCCTGCTGAGTCAATGCAGACACTCACTGACTGATTCCATCTCTAGTGTTAGCTACTCTGTGAGGAGTTTCATCCAGCCTCAAATGTCTGCTCTGTTCTTTCTCCAAAGAGGAACTTTTTTATTTTAATAAATGTGCAAAATGTAAACTACTTTGTATTTTAAGTAATTCCCCTTAGATATCCTTCCCCTCACAACAAACCTGATACCAAGCCTAATCTTGCCATTATTAGATTAAACTTTGGCTAATGCAGTAGTTCCACAAATGCATCGCATCATGCATTAATAACAAATCTGAGGCTTTACATTCCTTTTAGAGACACTTTATAAACTTTAATCACAAAAACATCCCGGCAACAAGCTTCAACTTGTGTTTTTAATAATTTTCTACAAGATTAGTTTAATTAAATAAAATTATTTTACCCTCACAATATTCCCAATAATATGTTTGTAATCTCTCCAAAAAAAGTTTTTTGAAACCTTAACCCTGTTTTTTATAACTTGTTTCATGCTAATATCACCTAGCATTTAAAGTACCTTGGTGATAGAAAATATGCTCTGGATTGTTTTTTGAAAAGTTGATTGCCTTGTTCAAATGGTAGGTAAAGATAATTGCACAATAATACATAGTGCTGTTCATTTGTCAATTGGATTTGTTCTGTTTGTTCAGATGGGTGTGAATGTTCCTTTAATGAAATACCTTATCCCAACATGGTCAATTGGGATTTGCTCGTCATACATTTAGGATTCAACAAACTATTTTGTGAATGGTTAAGACTATATTTTAGCAGTCACACTCTTGTATTGTTGAATTTGTGCTTTGAATTACAAATTCTCTCGAAAGAAAGGGAGTGTGTTTATTTTAAGGGGTTGGTGAAGGCGAAGGGAGAGGGAGCGCAAATGTGTAACCAGCATAAAAAGACACAAAAATAATAAAGTGATTAGAGGCAAAATAGTTAATCTCATTCATTGTGATGGGTGTTTGGTTACATAAAGCTGCGTATCTTTTTGCTCCAACAGCTGCCAAAGTTCTAATTCTAAGCACACACAGACCAAGCCGGGGAGGAAAGAAGACAACAAAAGGGAAGTTCAACACTGTAAATCAATGACTCCAAGACTTCTTCAAGATGAGACTCCACATCCATCGGCGAGAGTGTATCCAGCTAAGAATGCAAGGTGTGAACCAGCAGCTGCACGACATGACTCACCTTCTGGTTCATCGCCCCTTCAGGCCAGGTACAAATGTTACCGAACAATAACCTCAAAGATGTGCCTTTCATCTTTGTAGCCTGTAGCTCAGTGGTTAGAGCACTCGCCCCGGGTTTGATTCCTGGCAGGGTAAAGCGTTGGGCAAGTTTCCTAACTCCACGCACACACACACACACTCCTGATAATAATACCTCAAGAAAAAAAGCAACAATAATAAATTGGTCACTTCAATCCACAACTGTTTATGGGAAATTGCAGCGTGCAATTGGCTGCCGTGTTTTGCCCACAAATGTATAATCAATTCACTTTATAGTATATCCTGTAAGCGCTTTGAAACGTCTCGAAGATGTGATAAGGCGCTATACCAAATGCAAGGATTATTATTTATTATTACTTCACAGAAATAAACTGTCAAGAGTTTGCTGAGCAACACAAACCTTAACCCTGTCACTGCTTGAGTGCTTTGAACTAAAAGCAATATGCACTTTTTTTTAAAGAATCTTGAAATACAAAATATTAAGCTATTTATCAATGGGAAGCAAGGTAAAATGTATAAAGTCCATCATTCATTTCCCTCCCACACATGTTCAACAGAGCAGCAGAGTAAGAACATAAGTCAAGAAGCGATTGATTGCTACCACGCAGGCTTTAATGGTGCGTTGAAATACAGGAAGCCAGAGAGAGAGAGAGAGAGAGATAGACATGAGGAGTCTCACCCCCAAGGCCTTCAGGAAGAACGTGTTAGAATAGAATCAAAGCAACGTGTCTCTGAGCTTTGATTTGGGATTTTAATTCCGGGAAGGTGAGGCAGTCATGTTACTAGGGATTACAGGAAGAGCAATGATCATATCAGTATTGATCAACCAGAGAAAGACAAAACTTTTCTGATGGGGAGAGAGAAGGTGGAGCATTGTCAGATGATGAGCTTTTGCTTCTGTCCTGATCAGGATACCAAGGCTTCCCATGCATCCGATATATTCCATAAATTATACTAGATCTTTTATTAATTAGTGTTGGAATTGCCTTATTCTGTATATAACTAATAATCTGTCAAGTTCCAAATCGTATTATTTGCCAAGCTACAAGTTCTAACAATTCTGATTATTCACCTCTCTCCCAGGAGGATATTATAATTGATTAAATGCCTTCTTAGCCATTACACGTTGTATGATTTCATAGGCTTTAGATGACTCTTTTGGGAGTTGCTTATTAAGCCTGATGAAGAAGTAGGAAATTGTTAGGTTACTAAAGACATTAACTTCTAAAGGACATTATTTTTTCTCCCTTGAAATTTTTTTAAATTTTGTTTTAAAGCAATTTACTGTTGAAAGAAGAGCTGACTACCATGTATACATGGGCGATGGGCCAAACCTTGGGACTTGCGATTAAAACCATCTAATAAACCTCATTTGATCTAACGCAGCCAAAATAATCCCCATCATGTCTCAAGCTGCCTGGGTGCAGTTTTGCGCTTCGAGAAAACGGCACAGTTGGGAGGGTTTGTGGTATATCTTTGGTTTGATGGGAAGGTGATTTCAGGTATTCTGAACGTCAATGGAAATCTTAACCTTTTTGTTTAATAAAATCTATATACATTGCTTATAAAACAAAACTAGATATCACAAAGTTAAACTTTGTTTTAAGCATCTTTCCCTCCACCTTCTCCCACCATCCACTATCACCTCCAATTACACAGTTGGTCATATCACATCTACCTTGAAAAAAACAGAGTATGTTTAATCTGAAGATTACACAGGTGTAGGTTTGGCCAGTCAGGTATAAGTGAATCTGATATGCTGTCTGAGAACTGCACGGTTTGGGAAATGTAATGTGCAATTAGAATATTTCCCATCGTGAAATGTATTGACAAAGTTGAAAGAAATAATGTTAAAGAATAGCTGCCAAAGATTGTCTTGGGTGCCAAACAATGGTGTATTTTTTCACCTTTTTTTTAACTGAAACCGAACACTGAACCTGACATAGCAGCAAATCCTTCAACTGCAAATAAATGAACAGGATGGCAATTGCCTGATGTTCAGGTAAAGTATTTCATGCACATCTCAGTTAAAACCAAAAAGCCCAAACCTTTGCTAATGCAATTGTCCATTAGTCTAAAAGCTAATTTGAGATCACAGGCAAGTAGGTTCACGTCAAACACCACAGTAAAACTATATGAGGCCATTTGTTGAAAGGGTGCAGCAAGTAATGAGAGCAAATAGTTTGTACAGTGTACTTACTGCCCTTAAACATTGTAAACTACAAAGCGATGGTAGGAACGCACTTTGCTTAATGAGAGGGTTTAGCATCAAATGAACATTGTCCAACAACATCTGATTCTCCAGTGTTTTTAATTCACTGAGATAGTGCAGCTCAGTTTGGGGATCTCCTGTATCTCCTCAAAATGTCACAAGGTTGTATTTGCTGGGGAGAAAGACTGTTACTGTTAAATTGAGGTGAGATCTGGCCCTGTATGTGACAGATTCTCCACTGTACATATGTCTTTCTGTAGTGTACTTCTTCTCATGAACTTGTTCTCGATTGATGGCATGTTAGGCATGATGTGAACTTCTCAAGCACTTTATTGCCTTGTAATGTCCCTCCACCCACTCTGTTAATCTCTTAAATAAGGAATGGAATGTGTTTAGGAATATTGCAGTTCTGCCTTCTTTGCGTTTTTTTTTATGTTTGTCTCAAATCAGTTCAGGCCAAGGCTCATGTTGGATTTTTGGTCATTCCACGTCATGAAGTCTTTTCAGAATCGGGAGACATCATCGGTTTCTGTATTGTTTTCCAATATTGTCCCCAGATATAGATTTACCAGCAGAATTATTCCACAGCTGAACTCAGCACATGATCTCAAACACTAGGGGTATGGTTTTGTTTGTGTATTCATTATCAACATATACTGTAGCTTCTTTTAAATAGGGTTGTGTTTTTTTTGTGTGTGGTTTATTCACTTTAGATCCGATTACCTTGGGGAATGTACCCCAAAAATCCAACAAGGTCTCCAGTCACTCCTTCTCCTCTGTTCAAGAACCAGAGCAAAACTTGTGCAGCTAAACTGAGATTCTGTTGCGTTTGCACAATTGTTGTTTGGACTTTTAAAAGAGGCATTAACTTAACAAGTGTGACATTTTAAAGCCCAGAGAATACATTATCTCTGCGGGCAGTCGGAGCATGATGATGATCTATGGCCCCAGTAGGTACGCACTAGCAAAACAGAGTCAAAGGCCTCCTGCCCTTTTTGAATGTGTTCCTTTGTCAGTCTATTACATGATTTTTAACAGAACAAAAGTAACCAGAATAGATGAAGGCTAGCACACAGAATCTCTCTTGACCTCTTAGAGCTTCACAATTGGCCTGAGACAGAGTAACAAAGCTCTCTACCCTCCCACTGAGTTCGAGCCCTGTGGGGAACAACCTTCAGCCCACCAAGTTGCACTGTCAAGAGAGACTTAAGAGTTCTTGGGAGGTAGGGGGAGGAGCTTTCCTTCTGGTTTCTATGCAGTAGAAGTGTGTAAGCTCTCAACCAGAAGTGGAAGATGACAATTTTTTGTCTTTTGTGGGCAAAGACATGCTCTATTTCATCCGAAAGGGTCGATGTGTGGAATTTCTCCTGCCTGATATATGTCCAGAATTCTTACTCCCTCTGCTGCTTCTCCAAGGCAACCACTTAATTTGTTCAATGCCTTACAATATTGCACAATATTTAATGCCTTACATTATTGACCAGTGAACCAGGCTGGCAGTGAAACAGGGAATATCATCACAAGGCTCCAGTGTACTCAAAAGTTTGGATGACGAAAGTCATCAGTTTAATATAACCATTCAAGTTCTGATAGAGTATTTACCCGTAAACATTATTTTTAATGCTGATTTGTATTCTACAATGTTTCCTGGGGAGGATTTCTGCATTCTCCCCAGTTTTACCATTTGCATTCCTATATTCCATCGCTTCAAATATGTCCCAAGTACATGAGCTGACACGGCCATTGGAACTCTGGGTTAGTCCTCAACGCCACCCCCGCCCCAAATATTGCACAGAAACTTATACATTGGCCATGCACTTGTTGTTTCGCCAAAAAAATCCTATTCGCTAAGAAAAAAGAAAGACATTCAAAGAACTCTCACATTCCAGATTTTAAAATATTTCAACAGCGAGTCTCAGAGATAGCTTGCATCTTCCCTTCTATCATATTGTTTAGTAACAAATAAATCCCCCAAATAAGATTGGTCTCTCACTCCATGGCTGTTTGTGGGATGTTGCTATGTGGAAATTGGCAGCCGTGCTCACTAACACAATATACAGTCACCACACTTTACAGTATAACTGTGAAGGCTGTGAGACATCCTCCTGTCATGAAAGGTGCTAGGACTCAAAGATTTTTTTTTACATATTTAGAATGATGCCGTATAAATCCTAGAAATGTCAATTTTTAACATAGCTAAAAGGTTCATCTCACTTGTTTGTTAATTGGTATCTCTCCTCCGATTGTGAGGCTAAGTAAAAGCTAAAATGTTCCTAGATATCTTGTGGTATTATTGTAAGTCAATAATTCAGTTTTTGTTAAATGTAAGGCAGTAAAACCACTAATCCTGTTTATAATGCAAACCATGGCAGAAATGGTTCTATAGTCCCTGGATTCCATGCCTGAACAGCTATTGGCCACATAGTGCTTGGTTGGAATCTGATTGTGGATTGCATTTCACGGTTGCCTTAATTGCATTCAAATGAATTTTTAATTACGTTCTCCTCTCTTGCCAGTATTATATGTCTGTGAAACCTTTTACTTGTTGTCAAGTGAATTCAGAGACATGCTAAAGGCTTTTAGTGGAGGCCTGCTTTTTTTTTGGCTTCATAATAATCCTTGCATTTGTTTCACTGTATTCGCTTATCAGACATCTAAATGTAGCTTTTACCATGGGCTAAAAAGCAAGGGGTTTCTGTGCTAATAATGCTTACGAGGCGAATCGTCGGTAGGTCTACTCTGGCACAAGTTGCTTAATATTTAATAACAGTGCTCCTT